TTTTGGTACAAGTCAATAACTTTTTGTAGAATCTGTGTACCCTAACATATGTAATGTTGACCAGATGCATATCACGGGGACAAATCTCTTCAAATAAACACAATTACAGAGACCAAAAGAAATCTGAACACAGGCAGCACTCCTGACATAACAAGTATGAAGCATACATCATGTAGGCGTTAGTCAGAACAAGTTATATAAAACAAACAAAGTGTGGTTACTCAGATGACAAGATAGTGACACAGTCATGTTTGCTGAGGAGCCCTGGACAATGAAGACTTACAAGACAAATCTTACTCTCAAAAACGCCTGTAACACACCCACGTACCATTTGCCCTATAACACACCTACCTGGCATTTACCCACTGTAACATACCCACGTACCATTTGCCCTGTAACACACCTACCTGGTATTTACCCACTGTAACACACCCACATACCATTTGCCCTGTAACACACCCACGTACCATTTACCCTGTAACACACCTACCTGGTATTTACCCACTGTAACATACCCACATACCATTTACCCTATAACACACCTACCTGGTATTTACCCACTGTAACATACCCACATACCATTTACCCTATAACACACCTACCTGGTATTTACCCACTGTAACATACCCACATACCATTTGCCCTATAACACACCTACCTGGTATTTACCCACTGTAACATACCCACATACCATTTGCCTTACCCTGTAACACACCTACCTGGTATTTACCCACTGTAACATACCCACATACCATTTACCCTGTAACACACCTACCTGGCATTTACCCACTGTAACATACCCACGTACCATTTACCCTATAACACACCTACCTGGTATTTACCCACTGTAACATATCCCAAGTCCCATTTGCCCTATAACACACCTACCTGGTATTTACCCTCTGTAACACCCGAATTTACTGGTATTTACCCACTGTAACACACCTGTAACACACCTATAACACACCATTTATTTACCCACTGTAACACACCCACATACCATTTACCCTATAACACACCTATGTGGCATTTACCCACTGTAACATACCCACATACCATTTACCCTGTAACACACCTACCTGGTATTTACCCACTGTAACATACCCACATACCATTTACCCTATAACACACCTACCTGGCATTTACCACCTGTAACACACGAATTAACCATTTACCCTGTAACACACCTATTGGCATTTTGTAACATACCCACGTACCACCATCTCTGTAACACACCTACCTGGTATTTACCCACTGTAACACACCCACATACCATTTACCCTATAACACACCTATGTGGCATTTACCCACTGTAACATACCCACATACCATTTACCCTATAACACACCTACCTGGCATTACCACCTGTAACACATGAATTTACCATTTACCCTATAACACAACCATGTACAATTTACCCTATAACACACCTACCTGGCATTTACCCTCTGTAACACATAAATCTACCATTTACCCTGTAACACCTATGTGGCATTTACCACCTGGAACACCCATGTACTATTCACACCTATTATTCAAGTGAATTTGATGTAAGACACACAACCTTCACCTCCTTGATGTAACAATAACAACTGACAAGTCATGCTGAGGGTCCGGGTTAGCTTCTCACACTGATACGATGTATGAAGCCTGTTTCTGGCGCCCCGGCAGTGATATTGCTGGAATACTGCTACTGTGGTTGAACACCAAACTCACTCTTCTTACACACCACAGATAGTGCTTGGACATATTTATTTCTGAAATATTCCACTGCTTCTTACAGTACTATGTATGTAAATGAAGGAGGTCAGTAGGGTTGTACTGAGGTTCACCCGTGAAGAACTTGGTTAGAACTGATCTTCTGTAACCCACGCTTGTCATAAAAGGTGACTAACGGGATCGGGTGGTCAGGCTTGCTGACTTGGTTAATAAATGTCATCATATCCCAATTGCGCAGATTGATGCTCATGCTGTTGATAACTGGATTGTCTGGTCCAGACTCGATCATTTACAGACCGTCGCCCTATATAGCTGAATATTGCTGAGAGCAGCGTAATCCAAAACTCACTCACTCACTCTACTGGAGTTCAGCAATGACAGTGTCAGAAGTCCTGGACTGTGTAATTATTACTGACAGCAAAGCCTCCTGGACCCTCCTCCCTGAGGTAGTTGTGGAGGCAGCAATAATACCAGCACTGCTTAGAGACCTAGTCAGACTGAGGGTGGAGGCAGGTCATTATCTAACGCTAATTGTTGTACAGAAGGAATTACAAACAGTCCCAGATCATCATGTCTACTATATCCAGGAGGATCACACCACTTGTCTAGGGGTAAGGTGTAGAAGTTTGTTCACATCACCTATGCTCAAAACGAAATGTGAATAAAAGAATTCAAATATTTTGTTTCATTGCAAAGGGTCTTTTCAAGGACGAAAATAATTTGTTCAGACAATAATTAAGGGATAGAAAATAGAGCTTATTGCTGTTAGTCTGATTCAGTCTGTTTAAGGCAAAATGTATCCCAGGGAGAGTTCAAATCAACAGTGTTCACAAATAGCGTCTGACCCTCGGACAAATCTGGCAGATTCGCCGACGGTCTGATGGAAGTCTACAACCTGCCGGCCCAAGTGTCTGACTGTATATTTCACAATGACTGACTGAAGATGTTATGTGTGAGATGTGACACTTGTTTGCTGTCTATAAATTTTATGTTTGTTAATAATTTCGATGCCAATTATGATATAATTATTATAAGAAATGTTAGATCTGAAAAGTGTGTTTAATTTTTAATTTATGGGTCCCGCAAATTTTCAATTGGTCAGACAGACATCTGAAACTTACAGGACCATTCATGAACACTGTAATTATGCAAGAAAGCCAAGGGCTCCTTATCCTAACCTAATGTATAATGTACAGGTTTAAGACATCCCCAGATTCAAATACTTCTGCATCAGACTGGAAGGACTCAAGGACCCTGTAATTTCCAACACTGGGGGATGATACATGATCAATACTCAAACTAACACACATTTCAAGTTATTTTCTTCCTCCACATTACAACTGATATTTCAAGTTATTTTCTTCCTCCACATTACAACTGATATTTCAAGTTATATTCTTCCTCCACATTACTACTGATATTTCAAGTTATTTTCTTCCTCCACATTACAACTGATATTTCAAGTTATTTTCTTTCTTCCTCCACATTACAACTGATATTTCAAGAGTTATTTTCTTCCTCCACATTACAACTGATATTTCAAGTTATTTTCTTCCTCCACATTACAACTGATATTTCAAGTTATTTTCTTCCTCCACATTACAACTGATATTTCAAGTTATTTTCTTCCTCCACATTACAACTGATATTTCAAGTTATTTTCTTCCTCCACATTACAACTGATATTTCAAGTTATTTTCTTCCTCCACATTACAACTGATATTTCAAGTTATTTTCTTCCTCCACATTACAACTGATATTTCAAGTTATTTTATTTCCTATATTCTTCATTACAACTGATATTTCAAGTTATATTCTTCCTCCACATTACAACTGATATTTCAAGTTATTTTCTTCCTCCACATTACAACTGATATTTCAAGTTATTTTCTTCCTCCACATTACAACTGATATTTCAAGTTATTTTCTTCCTCCACATTACAACTGATATTTCAAGTTAAATTCTTCCTCCACATTACAACTGATATTTCAAGTTATTTTCTTCCTCCACATTACAACTGATATTTCAAGTTATTTTCTTCCTCCATATTACAACTGATATTTCAAGTTATTTTCTTGCTCCATATTACAGCTGATAAGCCAGTCATATGTCTGTTCCAGTAGCTGCTTCTCATAAATCACAAGAGATATCAGCTTGTAGAGCAGTGTAAGTCCTTCACACATCCTGCAGTCCAGGACAGATACATGTGTAGAAACCTAGACTAACACTTAATCTCGGAAATGAACATATTTTACAGAAAAATCGGTTTCTAAATTATAATAATAAAATATAATGAAAAGAAACTGTGGTAATCTAGACTTGCCACATATTATAGACATATGACAGACAGACAGGTACAGACATATGACTAGCTTATCAGTTATAATCTGGAGGAAGAAAATAACTTGAAATGTTTATTAGTTTGAGTATTGATCATGTATCATCCCCAAAGTCCTGCAAGGTCCGGCCAGTGTTGAAATTATAGGGTCCTTGGGTCCTTCCAGTCTGATGCAGAAGTATTGAATCTGGGGATGTCTTAAACCTGTACATTATACATTAGGTTAGGATAAGGAGCCCTTGACTTGCATGGAATACATAATTGTTTCTAGAGCAAACACTAGTAGAAACCCAGCATTGCTCCTTGATATTGTTACCATGATTATTCCTTTTCTCAACCATTTTGCAGAGTGAACAAGGTTCATAAAGACAGGGATTAATAGCAGAAGTTAAAAACACATGAAATTACTATCCATCAAAGATTAGCTGATTTTATGAAATTTATGTTTGTTGTTAATTAGTGAAACATGCAATTTGATGTGAACCCACTTGTGAAACCCATAATGTTAAAGGTTGATACTACTGCACTGAAGCTGCTATAGAACTGATGACAACCTGACAGATCTAGAATAGTCAGTGATGTAAATATTTGAAAAGAAACAAATTAAATTTGCAGACAAGTTCACAAATATAATTAATTTACCTATAAATAACTCTTCAAAATTTAAGTAAGTTTTCTGAAATGCATCAACCTCTTAATGACAAACATACAGATTTAAGCCTGTGAACATGGCTCAGTCACCAATTAAAGCAACTATTATGTAACCTCATTAGAGAGGTCTCCTTAAAGACAGCTTATATCCCAAGCCAGCACTACAACAACATCAGTCAGGCTTGGAGTCACTCCTCCACAAGCCACATATAGTCTAGTCTCCTCCAATCAGGGGCCTCGATACACTTGTACCAAACAGGTAGGTTCCTTGACAACACGTCAACTAACGAATGAATGGCTATGACAGAAGCACCAAGTCTGAAAATGATAGTTTGTATTTGAAGCTTTTTCAGCATTGTCATAGCAGCTGAAGTGCTTGTGAAGGACGGTTGATCTTGCGCCGAGGCTACGGCTCTAACGAGATCAGGTGTGCACAGCTATTCATCCAGTCAGAGATCTTTCTTCACTGAGTTGGAAAAACAGGTTTTATGATCCCGAAATAGCGTGGGCAGACTATACGGTCTTCCTTGCTTGACTGACGACCAAGTCCTCATAATGCAGACTGACCCAGTAAGGATGGGGTAGCAGAGATTAGAATGAAACCCACCACGTAGTGATCAACACCTTGTGAAATATAACCACCACCAAAGACAAGTTTCTGGAGAGAATACACTTGTTGAGGTACGTTGTGTATGTGAAATTGACGAGTGATAGGTACAAGTGTTTATTTCACAGAAGACATGGCAGGTAGTGGGTAGATGTCACCCCACCCCTTATTGAATAGAAAACTTGACAACTCATGCTGTACTGATACGTACCGGCTCAGACTGTCGGGTAGGTGAGTCGTTCATTTCAGATCAAGTGAAATGTATTTCATGTCCTAATGTTACAATAATTGTAAGAATGTTAAATGTCATTAGTCTTACTGCTGAAATACAATGTACTTATATATATGGTATAGCGAAGTTGACAACCAGAGGCTCCTTTCACGAAGCAACCTCTACTAAGGTTAACCTTAACTCCCATTCTTTAACATTGCACTAAGGTTACCTTAGTGACTTACGATCACCTTAGTGCTTTGTGAAAGGAGGCCCAGGTATATAGACGACACTTAATGCTGGTTGCCATACCAGGATATTGTGAATTTCATTTCATCAAAGTACAAAGGAAACTGTTCCACTGTGTAATCAATGATGACAACCTCATTTTGATGACAAATCAGGTGTTTCAAACTACTGTTTATTAATGTTCAACACAATACAGGATTTCAAATCAGTCTATTTTCTGGGACACTGATCATGATTCATTGTAATCAAAAATGTTTGAATATTTATGAAAATTTGATATTGGAATAGAAAGAATGTCCTTCCAAAAGTTGAAAATATATTCAAATATATTTTGTATCTAGAAAAAATAATTTCATTTCAATATAATTTTATAACATTATAGATATGGCTGGGCCATAATGTGAGGGAGGTTTGTTTTCAAATGAACTGATTTTCCACTTTTTCCAATATATCTTTTGGTAGGATCTCTGATAATACCAACCACTTAAATAAATAACATTATATGTAGTGTTTGTTAATTAATGATTTGTTTTATTAATATGAAATCGAATTAGTTTATGAATTATATAGGGTTAGGTAACCACAACCCTAACCCTAATAGATCTATCCACACACCAATATGTCAGGAACGATCAGAATTCCTTCCCATCTTGGAGATACGAAAACAGGAATAGGTAACAAACATGTTAAAATGGAAGGCAAATCGTGCTGACATGATGTAGTAAAACCTGACATCATCTACATTTTAGGAACTCGTATAACAGGTTAGATTGCACAAACAAGCTTAAGTCACAATATATTTACACTGTGCAACTTTTATGAAGCATTGTGTTTTCTTGCCTCAAGGAACTTAATTATCAAGTCATGTGAATAATCTTTTTGAAATCTAGCATAATTTACATGACAGGTATGTTAAATATGTAATGTGTACATGACACAGAGTTGAGACACGTAACATAGGTAACGGTGGTGTATTTCAACACACATTCTCAAGTTGTGTTTGAAGATGTGGCCCAGTCAGCTGATAACACAACTTGGTCCATTTACTAACCATCCTTGTTTGGATTTTGGCCTCGGGAAAAACACATTACACCCATTTCTGGTGTCTCCTGCTATCATATTGTTTGAATATTGCTAAATTTGCATACCACCTCACTGTCCTCAACTTGCCCCTACAACATACCCTCAACATAATTAACTGGCTTACATTATAATTTGGCAGCTGTGAGGGAGGCTCTTGGAAAGGACAAATGAAAGACTAATTGTTTGGTTGAAATGTAAAGATGGCCTGGATTCATTACAAATTAATTAGAGAGCTTTCACCTTCAGTACAGACAAAGACTTGTTTCTTAATGTTAGCTTTCTTGCATGTGTCTGAGTCATTTACAACTACTGACATCAGGCTGAACAGGAACATAATATGCCTTGTTCGTTAACATTCATTATTCATTGTACAAGGCTAACACAATCTGATTTGTTAAACAGCCTGGGTAAAAATGTGATATTAGTCCAGAAGTTTGGGGATTCATATGGGTACTAAAATCAAGAAAATAATCCATTGCATCAAGTTGGAAGTGATGATGATGATGATGATGATGATGATGTGTGAGTGAGTATTGTTTTGCGCCGCTTTTAGCAATATTCCAGCAATATCACAGCGGGGGACACCAGAAATGGGCTTCACACATTGTACCCATGTGGGGAATCGAACCCGGGTCTGGCGTAACAAGCGAACACTTTAACCCACCAGGCTACCCCACCGTCCCTGATGATGATGATGATGGTGGTGGAGGAGGAACCGAATAAAACTATTGCCTTGCCTAACCCTAAGTCTAGACAGTGTACAGAGCTACTGACTTATCATTGTGCCTTGAGTCTAAAACCGTCCATTTACTTAGTACATGAACAGCTGTGCTAACTTCAAGCCCCTGAGACCTGTCATTGTATATTTCATATTTCACACAGATCCCAGTTGTACAGCCTGAACACTGTAATCAATCTGCACAATACCCTACATGCAATTTTTAACCAAACATTATATAAACAATATTATGTCAATAGGGAGGTGTTGAAATATTTATTCAGTATATGTCGGAGCTATGACAATATTTGCTGCAATGTACGTGTAACAGTGTCAATACTGACAGACATGTCGGCATTAGACCACTATCATCATCCAGTACCTATAATCTTTACTGGGATAAACGACAGTCAACACTTTCATAGTCATCAATCAACACCAGGACTGACAAGTTTCTTAGTGAATTTGATGCAGGCAGCATATAAAAGAACCATTCCTTCAGCACGAATGATTACATTTCCATCGACATTTCGTCGATTGTAGACTGCAATAGCTAGTGGTTAGATATTGACAATGTGCAATGTACACCTGATGGACAAGTGATGGAGCTGATCCCAGTCAGGTTATCACAATATACTTCAACACCCTGCAGTGATGCAACATTTCCCCTAAGGCTGTCCTTGTGTTAATTGATATTCACGGACAATGAAAGGTGTTGATAACATTGTATTCCGATCACACAGATGGGGCATGAAAAGAAATTCTGCAAGATTGCACTTATTTAGCTTGAATGAAGACATGTTACAGATGAGGCCATATTTGTTGATCTACTTGATACAACAGACAAGTTCTAAAGCTAAATTCAGATAGAAATCTGTTAAATACACTAAAGTCAGAGCGAAAACAACCCCCCAGCATGATTTTTTAATTTAATGTACAAGATGAAGGTGTTATTAAATCAACATAATTTCGGACATTTTTGTGCCTGTGACAACAAAAATCAAACATCTGCCCATGTTTTGACACAAATTAAATAAAAAAAGTTTATAAAATAGAGTAGCCCCAACAATGGTAGACTGATGTTTTGTGTCTGAATATACATATATGATTTTGATAGAAGCAACTCCTTTTAAAGTAAAAAGGGATGGAAGATTCAGAACCAGAGGAAATCTAGACTTGCTTCATTTGGATATTTAGTATTATTACAGCAGGACTATATCATATGGGTTCTGTGCCAATCCGGGGCGGTGGGGTAGCCTAATGGTTTAACCATTGGCTCGTCTCGCCGAAGACCCGGGTTCGATTCCCCACATGGGTACAATGTGTGAAGCCCATTTCCGGTGTACCCCGCCTTGATATTGCTGGAATATTGCTAAAAGCGGCGTAAAACCATACTCACTCTGTGCCAATCCATTCTACAGATAGTGACCATAATCCACATGATTATTCACTATCATTTTCAAAGAAAACTACTTTTACATATTGCAAACCCCATCCCCACCCTTCTAATCAGTGTCAGTTTTGTATGGTTCGTTTTGTAAACATGGTTACAAGTTTCCAATGTGTCAGATTGAAAGCAGACATGTTAATAAAGTTTTTGGAAGTTGATACAAGTAAAGATATTACATATTCAATCTTAAGTCTGAACTACCTGTTGATTGAGTTTACCTGGGAAAACAGCGCCAGGTAACCTGTAGCCTATTGTCATGAGCCCACTAGACCGAGCACAATGCACAAACCAACACAATTGGTCAACACTAAACAGCCTTCTTCAAGTTATGATTTACAGGTTACATGGACAGACTTTCTAAAGGTTTTACAATTTCGAAATATTTCTCATGCTCTTTTACCCTTAATATTTATCTTAACTTTACATATTATAACTTAACATAACACAGTTTTTTCCAAAAGTTCTTAAACTACATCTTGCCAAAGATGAAAACTTGAATATTAATCATTTTAAAGTTAAAAGGTGAGAAGTAATTCCGCCATAACTGTTTGACAAAATTTTGATTTCTCCTTGTATTAATCTTTTAGTTAGTCTACACTGACCCTAAATTAAGAAGGTATTTATTTTTATTAACTTAAAATTGCTATTTCTTTGATAAAGATGCATTCGTATTTAAAGAGGACTATACAATCGATATTGATTGAAACAGTCACCCATTTGAGGCAACCCATTTGTTCATCAGCAACGTCAACAAACAGAAACAGCATCAGCAACAAAACCAGTTCTAACTTTTGTCCCTTTGTTATTCAGATTAGTATGCAATTTTGTCTCGAGGTCCCCGTTAGGAGGTCATTACATTACATTTATTGATTGAGAGGCCCCAATTTAACCTAGTCTACTTCGTTTCGTTTAATCCAGGGAGGGAGAAAGTCGGTATTAATTAGTGAAGGATCAATGTATGTATTATTCATGTCCATCACTGCCGACTCTCAGGTACACAGAACATATCAGGTAAACGAGCTGGCTCCGAACAGACTTCCGTCTGGAAAGAGGTTGAAACATGTTCAGTTTGTTGTTTGTGAGGGTACTGAATATATCACATCACTTTTGAAGAGGGATTAATTTTCATGTGTTTTGAACAATAGTCAGAACACCGCCACATACTTTCAGCAATCGTTCCCGTTTGACTTGAGAATTCCAGTAATCACTTACTAATGTAAAAGTCTGATTTTGACTGTATAACAGTGAATACATTGTTTTTGCAAACTTGAAATTTATGGTGGCAACTTCCTTGAGAGGCATTTTAGAAGTTGGGACGTACAATATTTAACAAACTTTATGGATAACAACTTTTATTTTGGGAGTGCGATGATTTGATACAGTTACTATACCGTTGTCATTCCTGCTTGACAATGGTATAGGAATCTGTATCGAAACATTGCACTCACGAAATAAAAGAATTTATTATCCATAAAGTTCAATATTATGGTGGCAAGTTATGGTTTGATAAAAAGTTGCATAATATTGTAAAAGGTACATCTGCAAGTTGTCATTAGAATATTACAATGTGCCATATTTTAACAGCAAAACTGAACATTTCATCAACAAAATACTTGATAATGATATATCTGTTTCAGATCTGGAACCGGATGCTGTGATGTAGTTGAAGCAGCTCAAACAGCAAGCCTGAACTCCGCATCCAACCAACCGGATTAAACCAGACACATACAACATGTCTGCAATTGAGCAGTTGTCAATCACTCTGGAGCATGACATTGACGAGCAGTATCAGTACCAACCTGGCGAGGTGGTGCGTGGCTCCATCTGCATCAAATCAACCAGACCCACCTTCATCAGGACAATATTCATCACGATAGTCGGGGAGGGCTCAGTTGGCTGGGACGATGAGAGTACTGGAGAGACGTACACCGCCAATGAGACATACATCAATGCATCTAAGGTTGTCATCGATGCTCGGGGAGGACGACCAAAAGGGATTCATGTCGGCAACAATGACTTCCCTTTCGCGTACCAGCTTCCCGAAAACCTCCCATCTTCGTACATCGGAAAATATGGGAGTGTAACATACCTAATGAAAGCAACGGTCAAGGGAGATAAGTCTATTGATCAAGCTATTACAAGTGAGCCGTTTCTGTGTTTAAGGAGGAGTCCGTTGCCAGATTCCATAGAAACACCATTGGAGTTAGAACGGAATCAGTGTTTCTGGGCTTCGTGCACTTTTGGGAATGTTTATGTTCGCGCAGGACTCAACAAGCAAGGTGGTGTGCCTGGAGAAGATTTGTTTGTTCACGCGGAAGTGAAAAACAAAAGTCGGCGTACGATCACAGCTGTCCAGGCATCGATCATCATGCATAGTACATACAATGCCAAGAAGTACACCACGAACTTTCGACAGATAGTCAACAAGAAACGTGATGAGTATGACCTAACCTACAATGACGGAAGGCGATGGTCATATGTTCGTCTCACCGTTCCGCCATACATCCCCGAATCGAACTTGGAATACTGCGATATTATCGACTTGTCGTATCTTTTCCAGTTTCGGGTGGAGTTGACAGGAGGAGTTGAGGTGAAACTGGAAGCTCCTCTCCTGATTGGAGCTCACCCAGCCGGGTTGGAAATTCCGAAACAAGAGAAGCCAAATAACAACATCAATAGTCAATGGACAGTGAAAATGAAGGGGATTGTACTGGACAATGTAGGTAATGGGTTCGACGAACGTGACACGGTCAATGACTGGCATGGGGGAGTACCACCTGAGCTTCGGAGCGATGACAGGAGCGTCATCAACAATCCTCTGTTTCGTCATAATTCCTTCATGAATCGTGGTGGTCACGCTGGGATGAGGAACGCTCCAGAGGAGCCACCAGAGATCATCGAGAACACCAAATTATGAAGACGGTCCTAGAAAGTACTAGTAAATACATAAATATATTCTGTTTTGGGTTGCCACTGGTCAAAATATTTATTCTATGCAAATTTGTAGATAAGAACTGGTTTGAGAATTGAAGATGTCCACTGTAGTTTTACTGTTATTTTACAACAATAACTTACCAAATAATTTGAAATTGATTTTTATCCATGAATCATCCTAAGAGAAATCCACAAAGACATTCTTGCTATTAACAAGGAATATGCACCTGTCAATCAGAGACACCTCACTGACATTGATGAGCTTCTTGGAACAATCACATATCAATTTCATGTACATACTTTGACAGTTCCTTGTCAAGTGTGTGTTGTAAATATCACTGAAATGGATTAGCCTGTGTACAGGAATATATATTACCCAGTGACTATCAAGTGCAATGGACATACTTACATAGTATCATTAGGGGCTAGTATATATATGTATAAAATACTATTTTACTGTCATTTGTCACTATTGGAATCAAATGTTAATGCAGAATTTTACAAAATAATATTATATGTTCAATTAATCATGCATTTATTTCATAATTGTCAGCTTTAAAGAGATTTTAAAACTACAAAACAGAGTTTGTTATTGTTTTTAAGCATTTGATATGTAATACCACAATGATACACTTCAGTGTTCATACTGATCTTTGACATAAACATTCAAGCCCATTGAAAAAAATAATCTGTTTTCATGGACATTTCATGCTTAAAAATAGACCAATGAAAGTTGTTTTATCATGATACTTCCTTCTATATTTCATGCTTACAAGACCCGGTTAGATTCCCCACATGGGCACAATGTGTTGCCCAGTTGAAACTATGCACCTAAAATAAACTTCAGTCAGTCCTTTTATAGTGCAGATATCAATTGTCGGAAGCCAGTTGTAAAATTGCTCAATCTTGTCAGTGAAAACAGTAATTAAAAAGAAATAAATATTGTAGTAAATCCTTGTCTGTGAAATAGATCACAGGAAACCAAGGCATTTTTAAAAAACAAACATCCTCAACACCTTTCCAAGTTTGTACCTTGTACATGTAGATTCAGTTTGGTTGAGCAATATGCCAGTGTTTTGTTACACATGCTTATTTATTTTAAACCAAATGAGACACTCAGATTTCTGTCAACATTCAAGATTCTTGAAATAATGTTTCCTTTTATCAACTGTAAAAATACTGTAAAACAGATACAAGTGGGAAGTATAATGTACACATATACCATTGATGGAGCATTTCTTCTTATGTTCAGTGGGACGGTGGAGTAGCATAGTGGTTAAAGTGTCCTCACGTCACGCTGAAGACCCGGGTTCGATTCCCCACATGAGAACAATGTGTGAAGCCCATTTCTGGTGTCCCCCACTGCGATATTGCTGGACTATTGCCAAAAACGGCTTAAACTTTAATCAGTCACTCTTATATTCAGTACATGTACTGCAAGCATTACTTCAGAACTTCATCAGTCTCCATTTCAAATTCCTGAAAAGGCATTAAAGTATTATTCTATTCTATTCTATATTCTATATATGTAGGACTTACTGTGCATGTAAAACTGTCCCACAGATCCAACCATGCCATATTGTCTAAACACAAATATTTTGTTTCCATGCAGCTTGTAAGTTCACATCAGTGATCTGTAATATATTTGACTGAGGCACATTTTCTGTCAGTGACAAATGCTGAAATCACTACATTTGTACAAAAAATAGATTTGATATTGAAGAAGAAAATAAAGATGTGTAAAAGGATATTACTTGAGGTTGATTTTTTATCACTTGGACTATGTGAATTAGCACATAGTAAATGCTCCAATGAGGATTCAAACTGTCAAGAGATAATGCTTCCATGTGTCCTGATTTTGTCTGGTTCCTGACAACATAACATGGTGCAATCTAAATACTGCTGTCTGTCACTAAGGCCCTTTTTTTAAAATTGGTACAAATTTTAATTTTTTTTTCAGGTCGGTAGGGAGGGAAAAAACAAAGGGGAATATGGAGATGTTATTTTCACACTTGAGTACATCATATATGCCAGGTGCAGCATGCCAGCTGAGCAGTCTGTGGCATTACCTTTTTCTCTGTTCCACTATGTTTCAGGGAATATTTGAAAGGTATAATTTGCTACTTTTTTTTTATTAAATTATTTCCCACTTTCTTTGTTTGTTTTTTTATCATGTCGGCGGCATATAATGGCAATTTTTTTTTGTCAAAACAATTTTTATTTTTTCCTCACTTTCTTCACATTTCGGGTCAGTGGATCCGTAAACCAAGTAGTAAAAAAAAAGAGAGGCCTGAACAAATATTTAAGCAGTGTGGTACATCATATTGATTCAATCTGTGAATGTTTCATGACAGTCTCCCCATGTATTGATTCAGGGTTTTAATTCTGTATCGATATTCCCATTGGCCATAAACCACCTGATCACTATATTACATTCCTGCCTGTCACAAAAGCAAATGTTAGATCTGATTTCCTAACTCAAGCCTGGATAAACCAGTCAGGCAGGTTCAACCCAAACTGGTTGACAGCAACAACTTCTTGTTAGTTGGATGGAACACGGAGAATGTCACAGAACAGTTCAATCAGTGTACCGAGACCAAAGTACTGTGATATGAAGTCACACCTAAGGCAGGGACATCGTGACACACTGTTGCTTATTTAGCAGTAACTTTATAGTAAACTTTCCATCATGTCCTACAATGGAAAATAAAATCCTTCCACAGTGCTTTCACTGCTTGTCAGCCTAAGTACATTCACAGCAAATAGGGACATTATATACTATTATGTCAACAGTATATTGACTAATTTGAATAGCATCAATATATCACAGTAATTATTAATTAGACCCGTGAAGATCTGGGTTAGAATATTGATCTTCAGTAATCCATGCTTGTCGTACGAGGCTGACTAACAGGATCGGGTGGTCAGGCTCGCTGACTTGGCTGACACATGTCATCGGTTCCCAATTGCGCAGATCGATGCTAATGCTGTTGATCACTGGATTGTCTGGTCCAGTCTTGATTATTTACAGACTGCCGCCATATAGCTGGAATATTGCTGAGTGTGTGACGTAAAACAAAACTCACTCACTCACTCAAACTAATTGTTTCAATGATGATAACAATAGTGTCATTAACTTGGTTCTATCCACTTATGTGAAATGGATCTGGACCAAGTTCTTACAACTTATAAAACCTTATGAAATGTCATGTGATTTGGCTGAACCAGGAAGTAGAGGTTTGAGAAATCAGTCATGCAGGAGGACGGAGAATCAAGCAGGATATAACATTCAGAATACCTGTATATTTCAGTTCAGTATTGCACAAATTGCCCAATCAGGTCATTCTTCACTTGCAGATTCATTTTTCTACTTTTCTTTCAACCAAAGAGCTTGCATTATGCGTGACAGCTGTGAGATTGTGCATTGTACTGCATCACTGCACAGTGTCGTTGTTGTGGGTCAGTGGATTATCAATACCATTACCAACAATATATATCTATGCCATCAATATGTCGATAAAGTCATTCAACCTTTAGCTTAAGCATAATGATTACAGAGAGGTGGAAGAAAATGTACAACCATAGTTTGAAAATAAGTATGAAAGTCACGGTGCCCTTTTCCTAACCTTATTTATGTAAAACAATTGAAGATTGAGTGGGGCTCCTAGTTTCAATATTTACGCAGCCAAATTCAGGAACTTCCAGGCCCAGGACTGCAATATACTTTTAGTTTGGTTGTTTTGGTTGTTGTTTAATGCCGCACTCAGCAATATTACAGCTATATGTTGGCAGTCTGTAAATAATGAAGACTGGACCAGACAATCCAGTGATCAATAGCACGAGCATCAATCTACGCAATTGGGATACGATGACATGTGTCAACCAAGTCAGCGAGACTGACCACCTGATCCTGTAATTCGCTTTTAATGACAAGCATTTTCGCTTTTACTGAAGATCAATTCCAACCTGGATTTTCACGGGTCGGAATATGCTTTTACATGTATTTCAGAGTACCATTATTTTGGGTACAAATACAAGTTTTGTGATTATCTCTATGGTTTAAGTTAAAATCTACACAGAAATTAATTCACAATGGATGTTTCCCTTTGTAATTGCTTGGCAAAATAACCTACTTTACATACTGTAAAAAGTCCAAAACTATCGAGGCTAATTTTGAGCCCAATAACATATAGTATAGGGCTGTAGTATGTAGAAAATATGATCTGTATGTACAATTAATGTCACTGTCAAACACTTTAGCTCCCAATATATCACAATACATATTACAATACCATTTCAAGACCCCTTAAATTTTGAACACTGCTTAAAGTATTTTTGATCATCTTTGATGACATACCAGAACACATGTATATACATACAACAGTTCAACAACAATTTACAGAGAAGCTGAACAATACTGATGCCTCTACCTTAATGTCACAGGTTTTTCTTCCATAATCAGGATAAAAAACAAATAAAAACATTAACAGTTCAACCCAACAATACAATATCTGTTGAGAAAGCAGGTTTGGGGGTTTGCTATTGACGTGTGGTGTACCTTGACTGACAGCAATGTACGCATGTGACCACTAGCATGTCATTAATGTAAGCTGACACGTCACCGAGCTATGTGGGAACAATTTGAGAACACAGGTGCCTTATTTCATGTTGTTTACGTCCACTGGAGCAGGTGACATTGATGACTATAGTACCATTATTCACAATGCACTTTTTGTAGCCTGTTGTAGTGCAGAATTCACCTTAATGTGTACCTTGGCCATTATGTATTACAACTTTCACGTCTCTGAGGCTGTATATATCGCGGTGTAATTAGGGGAATTACGTATACATGTTCATATAAATTGTCGGATTTAGTGGCTTTGAATTGGCCATTAAAATTACACGATTTTCTTGAAGTAAACAAAAACAAGATTATTATGTTACTGCCCTTTTGTATGATTAGTGAGTGATTGAGTTGGGCTTTAGGCTGCTTTTAGCAATATTCCAGTAATATCACGACGGGGGACACCAGAAATGGGCTTCACACTTTGTGCCCATGTATGAAATAGAACCCGGGCATTCGGCATGAGGAACGAACGCTTTAACCACTAGGCTTCCCCACCATCCCCTTTGTTTGATGAGAAATGACACATTGACATCAACATTAACATGATAAATCACGTACTGACTAAAACTGTAATATGATTGCCAAAAACACAAGTTATCAGCATTTGCTTTAGGCAAGAAATATGTTGCATCAACATAATGACATTTTAATGGGCAGATTGGTCATCATTTGTGCACGAAATAACCACTGACCTGCTTGCCCATGATGAGTAAAAATCCAGTCGGGACAGTAAATCTCCACAGTCATTGGCTTGACTGGCTAGTGAATTTTCATGGGGTTATTTAAACATGATTACAGATCTAAATTAGGAATAGATGATGAAACACGCCAACACAGAACATAAAAAATAAATAAACAATTAAAACATTATAATGTGGTTTTAGGTAATTAGTCTTTTCTTACTTTTCATTGTGCAAAACACTGTGCAAGTCATTAAAGTAATCAACTTGAATACATATTTCATGCAATAGTTTCATCAGATAAGTGAGACCAGGGACAGTCATTGTAAACTGTATCTCACAGGTCAGGCAGAGAGATGTCACTGTTTCGGCTGCTGACATTAACCGACCTGACAGTAGGATTATTTCTTGATACCAACTTCCATCATCAACTCATGTAGGCCACAGATATTTTATTTAATGGGCACTAGCGGTAAGGCAGGATGTGCCTCCCTTTTCATGAACACCTTGAGTCGTCACTAATTTTAAGCAGTCTATGCACACAAGTTTCTCAGCTATTTTGTCCTTTAAACCAAATGTAATCTGTTTCTGAGGACAGTCAAGACAATATTCCACTATAATGTGACAATCGTCAATAATACACTAGACAAGATTTAATAGATAACTAATATATTTTGTTTATCCAGACTTTCTGAAGATGAGTGTGGGTATTTATGAGAGTTGAGAGCTTCTTATCTCCAACTCTGTAACAACAGCCCACAGCAATAACGTATGGAAGGAAGCACACCTTGAAATGTTCTTGAATCAGATTATATTACACATCATAGCAACTGTATCCCAGGGCAGACAATCAGACATGCTCTTGCAATTGTGAATGTCGGACACAGTCACTTCTTACTGTTCAACTACCTCCGTAGTGTAGTGGTTAGAGCGTCCGCCCGGAGAGCGGAAAGTCACGGATTCGATCCCCTGCCACGTCATACCTAAAGACGTTAAAATATGGTACTTGTTGGTCCCTGCCTGGCGCTCGGCATTAATGGGTACAACAAGGACTAGTCGGTTCGGAGTCAGTATAATGTGTCTGAGTGGGGTATTCATGCTTAACTGTGGCATGGTATCTCAGTGAGCTAGCTCATAAAACCAGCTTAAGTCTAGGCTAGTACAAGCAGCCGCATATACACATACACACGCATGCACATCGTCATATGAGCAAAATATTCTCAAGCACGACGTTAAAACCCATTTCACCTCACCTCATCTCTTACTGTTCAGCAGAAAGCAGCCAAACTGTATGAAGGCAGCCTTGCTCCAAGGCTCTACTGAAGGCTGAGCCCATGGATGTATAGTAATTCCATCCTCTTAAGAGGCAAGTCTAGATAAGATGACAGTACGCCAGTTTGTTAGGGGGATATTTATATTTTTGAGAAATTATCATTTAAACTATTAATTATTACCTTAGAGACTTGTGCAAGTCTTGTATGAAGGTTAAATGTGTATTTGTGCTGGGTTTAACATTGACACAGCTGTGCATGATTGATTATATTTTGTCAATTACAAAAATGACATTCAAGACACCATATGTCACACTGATGTTAAGCTCTCAGATACCATCTTTAACGCTGCTGATGGAAGTGAGATGAAGACTCAAGTAGCATCCACATCGACTGAGGACAGTTATTGTCACAGTTAACTGGGCCTGGGGATCTCCATGTGGGATATTGGGATATTGCTCAGGGTTTAGTTTGTTGTTTAATGCTGCACTCAGCAATATTCCAGCTATATGGCGGCAGTCTGTAAATAATAGAATCTGGACCAGACAATCCAGTGATCAACAGCATGAGCATTGATCTATGCAATTGGGAACCGATGACATGTGTCTACCAAGTCAGCGTGCCTGACCACCCGACCTCTGTTAGTCGCCTCTTATGACAAGCATGGGTTACTGAAGATCAATTCTAACCTGGGTCTTCACAAGCACACACACTTATAACAATGTATGACAATCAATAGCCAGCTCAACTGTTGCACACAAGAATGTGTTCACCTCTATCATTTTGTAAATGTTATTTCTAAGTAAATGTTTGCATTAAAATATTCAATATATACAAATATGTTGGCATTGAACTAGGCATTGTTGTAGTAGTAAATTGTACAAGGCGTGTCAGGTGAGATGCTGTCACAGAGCCGGAGTCATATGTTGCAGAACTGGTGAAGTAAAACAAAAATATATTGTTTCATCCCAAAGAAAACAACAACTGCAGATCTGTGGGCTAACTTGCAAATTGGATTGAACATTGTGTCAAACCATGTTTGTTTTTTCAAATTTGTGATTGAGAAAAAAGAGATTCTTATAAAAAATACTTTCATATGTAATCAAGTGAATTAAAATTCTTAGTTTCAAATTCAACCAAACATACTGCAGCATACACAACCATTCATTTTACAAAATCAACATGAAAAAATGATGTGTCCTGAAATATATGCATATACATTTTTTAATGTTATTCATCCCTGATACAAAAATATCTGGATTAGGTTGATGTCCAGATTGACCAATTGTAAATTTGGGCATCATAATTGTTTTTCTATACACATATTAGTAACCTTACTGATGATGTTTCAGAACCAAAGTCTGTAAGCTACATATTTTTCATCATATAAAATCTTTTTGAGGGGACCCGTGAAGGTCCGGATTAGAATTGATCTTCAGTAAGCCATGCTTGTCGTAAGAGGCGACTAACAGAGATCGGGTGGTAAGGCACGCTGACTTTGTAGACACATGTCATCGGTTCCCAATTGTGTAGATTGATGTTCATACTGTTGATCACTGGATTGTCTGGTCAGACTCGATTATTTACAGACCGACACCATATAGCTGGAATATTGCTGAGTGTGGGGTAAAACTAAACTCACTCACTCACTTTTTGAGGGAGAACTGTGGTCCAGTTGCATTCTTAAAGAATATAAAAAAACCTTTGGTCTGAATCCCAGAACTGCCTCGTTGTTTTTTGGCTTGTGAACACTACCGACAAATGGTGAACACCTTAGCATCATATCTGGGTGTTCTCCTACATGGAACATACACATACTGGTCAAATTGAAATAGTGCTCAAAGCAGAACTAACCCAGACTCACTCACTCACTCACTACTCACTCACTGTCAATTTATTTTGATAATATTATTTTTGTCAACACATCAAGCAGATCCATGGTGTCGGTCCTTTCAACAATAATCTACAACCCATAAAACGATTGTGAGGAAGAAACGACCCCTAATAGCCCCATTATCCATCAAACTAAACATAAAACAATAATATATGACAATCATTATGAAATCATAAATGACAGATTGTGTCTCTTCATGTTACTGATACGACATTAAATACAAATCTGATGTAGCCAGAGATCTATGTAGGTTATATATGGTACACATCTCGGCTGTACATGTGCTGTAGACAAGCCCAGGAGTGATATTGACGCGCTATGTACACATGTCTCACAGATAGTGAACTGGCTTGTCCTAGTTATATAGACTTGATAGACAGTCAGGTAATGTGAGATTGACAGCAATATTTATACTAGGCTATTGTCAGTTTCTCTGTGTGTGCATGGACATGGGTTCCCTGTCAAAGACTAGATTAACTAAAACAGCCACCAGATTAATCTAAACACACTTCATCTCAAATCCCAGCTTAAAAGCAAAGTATGTATTTGTCATCTTTTAATCGAAGTCCATGCCAGTTCAGATGTGAACTAATAGTGTTAATGTGACCTATTCAAAAACATTGTCCAACTGCCCCTTGGATAACTGCTCTTTAGGCTAATTGCCCCCTAGGGGCAGTTGTCAGGGGAGAGAGAGAGAGAGAGAGAGAGAGAGAGAGAGAGATACCATTGAAACATTCATTCACTCTGACAATCATCCGTCATGGTGTGCCCATTACAAAGGACTACTGAATTTTAGAATGTACATTGTTTTGGCCAGTTAGCAATATTCCAGCTGTATCATGATGGTCTGTACATAAGTCCTGTCACGGCAAACCAGTGGTTGATAGCATGAACAACAGATTATCCCACCGTCATATTATGACCTGATCCTCCAAACAAGAAGACTATTGATACTCCTGACTCTAGTGTACACATAACGCTGAATGTTGTGATGGACTTAAAGTACAATATACAGTCAAATCCCGATGAGTCGAATGCCGGTGTCTCGAATATAATGCATAACACGAAGTACCTGTCGGTCCCGACCATTCCCTGCTGTTTTTGTCATCCTTTGAGTTCCGGTTACACGAATTCGTCTCATAAATACACACGATGACTCGAAATGGAAATTTGGTCCCTTGAGATTCAAACAATAGTAATCTTGTATACATAAGCCGAAGTCAGTCAATGAGAAGTTAATTGGTGATCCAACTACATGTAACTGATCCAATTAACAAACCAGCGCGGCTCGCACCTTTCCGCTATTGTCGGGTGAGTTCAAAAGGCAGATTAGTGATTTTACGGAAGCGGAAGAATTAGCACATGACATTGAGTTAACTCAATCAAATCGGTTGCGTTATATAGCAGCTTTCATTCGGTTATTACTATTCATGATCTGTACATCATGGCGGAGTTACAATGTTCCCAGCAATCTGGGGGGATAAACCGATCGGAAACATCAACTCCAAAACGGAAGCGCATTCTAAAAGTGCACACTATTGACAAGAAGTTTGCAGCGATCACTGCAGTGGAGGCAGGTACCAAATCTAAAAGTGAAATTGCGAGAGAGTTTGAAATTCCGCCTAACACTCTTTCTACTTGGTTGAAAATGGCAGATAAGATTAAAGAATCCATGTTACAGTCAGGTGCAAAACGTCGTAGGTTAAAGGAGGCTAAGTTTCCTGAACTTGAGGAAGCACTACTCAAATGGTTCAAGATAGCGCGGGACCAAAATGTCCCAATTAATGGTCCATGTCTATGCCGAAAAGCAATAGAACTAGCAACGCAACTTGGTATAACAGATTTTGTTGCCAGTACCGGATGGCTGAATCTGTTTAAAGAGAGAAATGACATTCTTTTCAAAGCTGTTTGTGGGGAATCAAAATCTGTAGATAATGATTCTCAAGCTATGAATGACTGGGCAAAATCCTTACAACAAGTGTTACAGAAGTTTGAGCCAGATTGCATTTACAATGCTGATGAGACAGGAATGTTCTACCGTCTTTTGCCTAACAAAACTCTTGAGTTCAGAGGTGTCAAATGTCACGGTGGTAAACAATCAAAGGAACGCCTAACTGTGCTTGTCTGTGCTAATCAGACTGGAACTGATAAGGTGCCCTTATTAGTCATAGGGAAATCTGCTAAGCCGCGTTGCTTTAAGAACGTCAAATCTCTGCCGACTTCATATTGTAACAACAAGTCTGCCTGGATGACGTCTGGTTTATTTTTTATTTTGTGATTGGGTAAAATCATTAGATAAACAAATGATTAGACGAAAGAAGAAGATTGCTCTCATTTTAGACAACTGCCCTGCTCACCCGAAAGTCAAAGGTCTCACAAACATTACTCTTGTGTTCCTTCCACCAAACACAACTTCTAAAACGCAGCCAATGGACCAAGGTGTCATCAATAAGCTGAAGGTCCACTACAGGAATGCAGCTCTTGACCGTTACATAGAAGCCATCAACGACAGTAAACAATGTGTAATCACAGTGCTTGATGCCATGCGTATGTTACGACATGCTTGGCAGAAAGTAAAGCCAGTAACAATCTCCAACTGCTACCGCCACGCTGGATTCGTTCTGACAGAAGCCGCATCTCCCGACGCCCCATGTGAATCTGACGATGAAGATGACATCCCCCTAGCCAGATTACTTCCAGGTGATGTGACTTTGGCCGACTATGTAAGTGTCGATGACAACATTGAAACATGTGCCCCTTCATCTGATGCCGACATCATCGAGTCATTGCTTGGTCCCAGGACCTGTCACAACGACGACTCGTCTGATGATGAAGACGAGACACACCCTGCCGTCAAACCACCACCATCCGTATCGGAAGCGATAAAGTTCTGTGAAGGACTGGAGGAATTTCTCGAGTCGGTTCCAGGCACAAACAACGAACATTTTTCCCACTTGGCAAGCGTCCGTGAATTTGTGGATAAATGTAAGGGAAATTCACAGAAACAAACGTTAATGTCAGACTTTTTTCAGAAGTGAGTTCATCTTTTTGTATATTAATAAGATTCAAGATGGCGGCATGTACTAGTATATCTATCGATTGCCGATAGAGTTTGTTCATGGATTTTAAGAGGTAAATGTATTTTCTATTTTATTGTGCTAGTATTGAAATGTGTTCTCATATGTATAATGTTTGTTTCCATTATCCATTATCTATGTCACCTAATGTATTGTTGTGCTATATTTAGATATGATGTGCGGAATAAAGGAATTGTTGAATATTGAATCATCTTTTTTTTCTACCCTCATAGACATCCCTATGTCTCGAATACATCGATAAGCCGAATCTTTTACTTGGTCCCCAGCGATTCGACTCATCGGGATTTGACTGTATAATGTTGTTTAAAATTGCCTCTGTTCATCCAGCAGAAAATGGGTACCTGGTGGTTTAAGTCACGTAACCTTCTATTGCCTCACAGGCAGCTTGGGTTATCAGGATAATAATGTCAATCATGTTGTATGTGCTTAGAGCATGTCCCTGCAGTGTGGAGTTCAGCTCTATATAAGCGGCCAATTATTCTTATTATAAAGCATGAAATTCTGCAGGATTGAAGAAATTTCAACCAAGACCAAGGTCATAGTTTCTGGCCATGTGTCGGTATATTGTTGACAGGCATACCCCAGCTGCTAGGGGGCTTGAATGGAATGTGAAATGAAATTAAAGTGGATCGATATCCGACAAGCCTGCATCAATGCTGGCTCCACCAGGACATATGTCACTTTGTGTGTGGGACTGCTTTACAAAATGACCTTGAAAAATGACGCTATTAGTGTGATTCAGTCAATATTTAAATCACCTGGAGTACCATATTGTCATACTGAGTTAGTGAGTGAGTGAGTGAGTGCAACTTAGCAGCATTTTGTTAGTTTTGTGTAATGCCAACACCATAATTATTCTGTTTATATAACAGTAGCCTGTAAATGATAACTAAACCACTGACTGACTTCTAGTGCAAAACAGAGCATGATTACACTCCTTCTGACAACTGACTTCCAAACTGACCGCCCAGCTTCTACAATTTGTCACCTCTCACAACCAGCTACAACCACCTGATCCAATTATTCATCTCTAATGACCAGCATCGTTTACAGGATCTCCCCCTGGAAGCCCCACATGATCAATATTATAATTATAGTGGGGGACATGCAAGACCTTACTTCACAGTTTGTAACCACTGAGGGAATCAAACCCAGGCCTTACCTGGCAAACACTTGAACTACATGGCCACCTAACATGGATATTCTAGCATCCATGGTGTAATTTGGGTTATGATTAATTAAGAACAAAAACTCTTCTATACTGTTGCATCCAACAAAAACAGAGATATTTAAACATGTTTATTTCAAAAGAAGAGAAAGAAATGAGAGACCCCACCAATATTCTTCATCTCTATTCTGCCAAGTGGCATACTGATCCATTCCAAAAATACAAATGAAACAATAAATGTCTACTGATGTTTAATCCTTAATTTCACATTTTCATTTGACAAAGTTTGTCATTACCAGAAGTGATACAATGTAGGTTTTTAACAAGGAACCATATACAAAATAACAAAATCGAAAATATAAAACTAGTTTTCTGAAAGTGTAACCTATACAAGATGACCCCTTTCTACAGAATCACATTTCTGGTGGTCCAAATCGGGCTTGTCTACAGTGATAAAGCACACCCTGGGAGCCAGACCTAACTGTGTGATGATAAACTTGAGACACTCCACCCACATCATGCACCCAGTCCTATCTGACATGACATTGACAATGACAAAGACCCCACAGCTGGGTGTGGTAGGGTAATCCAAATGTTGTGGGAATCTATTAGCTCTAGATTCACTGACATCAAGGGGCAGGGTTCTGTCAGTAAGTCCTACCCGAAGTAAATCCTTTGTTCGTTCTTAATGGGGCCACACCTATATCAACAGTCTCGATCAGTGGGTAGTTACAGGTTTATTGATAGTATTACATGTTTCTCTCTGTTATAAATGTCTTATCTATGGTTAACCTCACCCTGACACGACACATTATGAACTTTGTGTGTGTCAAATTAAACAACCACCCAAAGGTAAAATGAATTAATTATGAGATTTTCACCCTGCTTGCCTCATAACTAATCACATTGGGTGGGCAGGCTCGCTGACTTGGTTGACACATGTCATCGGTTCCCAATTGCGCAGATCGATGCTCACGCTGTTGATCACTGGATTGTATGGTCCAGACTCGATTATTTACAGACCGCCGCTATATAGCTGGAATATTGCTGAATGCGGCGTAAACTAAACTCACTCATTACTAATCACACAATCCCACACCCTTTCATTGACCATAAGTAAAATACTTGGTTGTTTTCTTCTGGAACATAATACAACTTAAAAGAAGTTCCAGATCACTGCACATGACAAATTAAATGTAGTAATTTGAAGCTGGGCGTCTCCATAACTTTTGAATGGTCTACATAATCCTATCAAACATCCATGCTCCATGTGAGTTACATTAATAGCCACAGATAATAGTTTGTGTATACAAACAAACTCAGTAAACTATGGTTAAAAAGAACTTAAAGAGACCTTTAATATCAGTTTGTTAGCTCAGCTAAGATAGACTGCAAGTGGCCACGACCAAAACACATTTCACTGTATCAGTCAGTTCATTATAAGCATATTTTTGGTATGAACATAGTTTGATGAAAATGAATTCCCCCTGCTTCTCATTTCTTAAATATTATGGACAAAGTTTAATAATGAAGAAATCCATATAACTGGGACATGATTACACGAAATCCACCTGATCACTTGATCATGTTGTCAATTATTACGACAAGCGGTTGGGGACCTAGGTTTCCGTTGTACAAAGCGATTTTAGTGCTAAGGTGACCGTAACTACCATACCTTAACATAGACTTAAGGTAGTCTTAGCGCTAAGGTGACCTGTAACTCCCATACCTTAACATAGACTTAAGGTAGTCTTAGCGCTAAGGTGACCGTAACTCCCATACCTTAACATAGACTTAAGGTAGTCTTAGCGCTAAGGTTGTTTTGTACAACGGCATCCTGAACCCTCACCTGGAACCCCACAGGGAGAAATAAAACATATATCATGGAAAACGATCAACCCGTGCCTAGTGCTTTAAAGTAAAAGCTGTCCAAACAAAGATCATCTTACAACAAACTATCCTCCATTATGCATGTGTAGGTTATGAATGTTTTCGCCATTCAAGATCTGTCAATATTTACAAGTATTGTTCAGGGACATCACAGTGAACTACTTGCCTCATAACTTATTCATCGGGTGGTCAGGCTCATACAACTTGGATTGACACATGTCATCGGTTCCCACTAGGCTTGAATACGATGCGCAAGCTTTTGATCACTGGAAGGCATGGTCAAGACATTCGGGCACGTTACAGATAAAAGGCCATATAGCTTGGAATATTGCTGCGTGCGCGCAAAACTAAACTCAGCTCCTTCTAAATTCAGAAATGGTTTAATAATCACACCATCCCACACCCTTTTATTGACCATAAGTAAAATACTTTATTTGTTTCTTCTGGAACATAATACAACTTAAAAAGTTCAGAATCCTGCACATAACCAAATTAACTGCTTAATGATTTGAAGTTGGGCGTCTCCATAACTTCTGAATGGTCACCACATAATCCAATCAAACATCCATGCTCCAGCATGAGTTACATTAATAGCCCATAGATAATAATAGTTGGGTACGCCTACAAGCTTAAAACTAAGTAAACTATGGATTTAAAAGATTTTTACAAAGATACCACCTTCAATAATATCAGTTTATTGGCTCGGCTTCATGGAGATATTCATATCCTGCAAGTGGCCACGACCAAAACACATTTCACTTCATCCAGTCAGTTTGTTATAAACATATTTTTAGGTATAGACATAGTCTGATATAAAATTAGATTCCTCATGCTTCTCATTTTTTAAATATTATGGACAAAGTTTAATAATGAAGAAATCCCCATATAACTGGGACATGAATACACCAAAATAATCCACCTGATTGCTTGATCATGTTGTCAATTGTTACGGCAAGCCAGTTGGGGACCTGGGTGCCGTTGTACAAAACTTTCCGAATCTCAGTTCTAAGGTGACCCGTAACTCCCAAACCTTAACATAGACTTATGAGTAGTCTTAGTGCTAAGAATTGACTGTAACTCCCATACCTTAACATAGACTTAAGATAGTCTTAGCACTAAAAGGTGACTGTAACTACCATGCCTTAACATAGACTTAAGATAGTCTTAGCATTAAGGTGGCCGTAACTCCCATACCTTAACATGGACTTATGATAGTCTTAGTGCTAAGGTGGCCCGTAACTCCATACCTTAACATGGACTTAAGGTAGTCTTGACGCTAAGGTGACCGTAACTCCCATACCTTAACATAGACTTAAGGTAGTCTTAGCGCTAAGGTTGTTTTAATACTAGCAGCATCCTGAACCCTTACCTGGAACCCCACAGGAGAAATAAAAGACATATATCATAGAAACGATCCGAATGGTGCCTGGTGCTTTAAAGTGAAAGCTGTCCCAAAGCAAAGATTCTATCTTCATAACAACCGGCTATCCTTCCCGTATTACATGCATGTGTGTAGGTTATGAACGTTTTTAGCCATTCAGTAAGATCCTCATTCAATATTTACAGAGTATTGTTCTAGAGAGGGACATCATAGAGCGGAACTACCACTCCTTGTTAAACTGTGACATGTAAAGCTATAGTAAACCATGTACCTACAAATTAAGGTGATATCATGTGTTAAGTCAATGTCATTACAAGGATCGGACTTGTTGAAAGGGTACCAAAAGTAGGATGCTGTATTTCCTCAAATGTTATATTTGGTTCTTAACATCTGTATGCTTTATTTATTCCTTTCTTGAGGAATTCGGCTCACTGAAGCAACAATCAGCTATATGTCCAGTTACCAGTAGAATAATCCAACCTGACCAGTGATTAATACTCAAATTAGTGA